GGTAAGGGTTGAGGGGTATTTTTTTATTGTGAATTGAGTGAAGGTTTACAGAGCAGATAGTCAGATTTACATTCAACAAATCATATACTTGTTTCATCTCAATGATTGCAGTCCCTTCCATGTAACAAACAGTTATCCCGCTTCCTCCCGTTGGTTCTTATTTCCATTCCATCCAACCCTTCTGAACTTTGTCCTTAGGCAAATGTTGCCATTTTGATCTTGAATGGTTGACCATTCATGGTAAGTGTACCTTACTAATGTTGTCGTCACCCCACCCCCGCCCCAACCCACCCCGATATACCTACCTCTTGGCTAAAAATTGGGCCACAATGTTGAGTTTTGTTTCAGGCCTGAAGGGTGGCCAAGAGCCATAGTCCTGGGTCCCTCCAGCCTCATTCTGACCAGTAATTCTGAGTTTTGTTCTGCATTTTCTCCCACTCTATCCAGGACCTTTTAATATGATCCCATCAAGAGCAATTTGTAGTGGTAGCAGGGCACCATCTAGTTCTTCTGGTCTCAGAGTCATGAAGACTGATGCTCACATTTTCCTTTACTCCATTGGACTAGTTGAGTCCAAGCATCTTCAATTTCATCTGCACATGGAGAGACTGATAGTTGCACCACAGCTGGCCACTGATGAGCTTTTAGGATCTCAGTCTCTCCTTAACCTAGAACATTGTCTTTGTGGACTCTTACGCCAAATTAACATGGTGTCCCCTGAGACTGTGTAGTCCTGAGCCTCTAGGCCCAACAACTCATTGCCTCAAGGTGTTTGGTAATATCTAAGAAGTTTTATCATTTTGTCCCTGGTTTGGCGCTTTAGGGTATGCACTGTATGCTAAACACAGGGTAGGTGGTTCAAACCCACCAGCCACTCCTGTAAAACCACTTATACAGGGCCACATGAGATGGAACTGACTGAATGGCACTTAATGATAAACACAGGACTTCCAACCACAAGGTCAGCAGTTTGAGCCCACTATCCACTCCACAAGAGAAAGATGAAGCTTCCATAAAGATTTAAAAATTAGCCTCAGAAACTCCACACAGGGCCACTGTGAGTCGTAACTGACTAGGGAGCACTTCACAACAATGACAACAATGCTCCATCACATCCATCTGTGTGTTTGTAACACAGGTAAATGCCCAGACACAAATACCTTCCGGGAAACCCTTATGTACTTGTGGATCTACTCCTCTCCCTTCAGCCTTTATGGAGGCAAATTGCCACATTGTTCTGCAGAACTGCTGGTGGCTTCACACCACTGACCTGTATGTTAGCAGCTGAGCTCTTTAACCTCTGCACCACTAGGGCTTCTAATAAATTTTGCTGTTTAAAATTTTAGCTCCGTCAGCTTTAAACATCTCAGGCAATCACCCTGTTCAAAACCTTTATTTCATAGGAACATTGAATTACCTTTCAGGCGCTCTAGCTTTGTGACAGTCCAGATTTTCCTGTTCTTGACAGTCTAAGTCAATGATAATAAATCTTTTTATCAGGAAGTCATTTTGTCAAGTGACATTTTCATAGAACCCCAGGATATTAAAATGATTCTCACTGGCAAAATGATTGTTTTAAAATTTTGACTGATAGCATCTTTATATAAAAACAATGAATGATAAAAATGAAGGAATTCTGATAACAAACGAATGTGAAAATTTGAGCCATGGATGACATTTACAGTCTTAGCAGCCTTGCTGTTGTTGTTAAGTGCCATCAAGTCAGTTTTGACTCATAGCAACCCTGTATCAGGTTTCCAAGGAGCAGGTGATGAGTTTAAACCACCAACATTGCAGTTCAAACTGACCTTGCAGTCTTGTGCTTTATCCTACAGTGTCACACCAGGACTTAGAAGACTTCCTTTGCTTTGTTTTGGTTGCACAGTATTGAGAAGAATCCTGATTGATATTATTTTTAAATCTTTCAACATTTTATCTTTTTAAATTTTTTATTGTGAATTGAGTGAAGGTTTACAGAGCATACCATCAGTTTACATTCAAAAAATCATATACTTTGCTTCATGGTTGCAATCCCCTCATATACCAACAGTTAACAGCATTTACCTCTATTCACTTTACCTGTTGCATTCCTCCCTGTGTTTTCTGCTTCTCTCCTGTCCTGTCACCCATGTTAACGTGTGTCTGCCCTCTAGCCCATGAGTAATTTTCCTCCCACCTCCCCATCATTGATTGTTTTATCAAGAAAATCACTTTATAACTTTTTACAACATTGGTCTCATACAATGTTTGCCCTTTTGTGATTGACTAATTTCACTCAACATAATGTCCTCAAGGTTCAATCATGTTGTGAGGTTTTTCACAGATTCATCATTATTCTTCAGTTTTCTAGTATGCCAGTGTGTGTATGTACCAAAGTTTATTTAGCCATTGTTCTGTTGATGAGTACTTAAGCTGTCTCCATCTTTTTGATATGTGTCTTGCATATTGAAGGATGCTGTTTTCTCATCTATTCTGCTGTTTGTCTTTTGACTGGTACATTTAATCCATTTACATTCAGTGTAATTATCAGTAGGTGTGAATTGATTGTTGTCATATTTTCTGTGTGTTTTTTGTAATGCTGCTGGGTTCTTCATTCTACATAATTTTCTATGCTGTGTTCATTTTGTATATGGTTTTTCATTTTCATTTCTGTT